GTGTGTGTGTGTGTGTGTGTGTGTGTGTGTGTGTGTGTGTGTGTTAAGTTTTCGCGGGTACTTACATGTATGGTATTCAGCTTTGTTCGGGGAATTTTCCCACGTCATTATAGTTGTGCTTTTAAAGTTGTAGCAACGTTTCGGCAGAATCTCATCTCCACGTCATTATTTTTGTGCTTTTAAAGTTGTAGCAACGTTTCAGCAGAATCTCATCTGCCATCATCAGGCTTTCATCATCACACACACATACACATACACACACACACACATACATACATACATACATACATACATACATACATACATACATACATATATATTGCTACACTTCTCAGTTCAATAGCTACACGGTTGTGCTACTACATAAAGACCGCATGTCTGATGTTCCTGGTTGGCTAATACTAAGTTAAAAAGTTAATTTGTGCAGCTTCAGACAGTTCATCCCAATACAATATTCTATTTCTCTTGAGATTAGAAAGTGTCTGATGAGAACAATGTTAGTTAATGCTATTTTAACTGAGTATGCTAGAACTGAATCTGAAAGACATCTAATCCACATGTTTTCATGTTGCTTGATATCTTACAAGGATTTCTGATATATTAGCATCTCCTATAATGACCTTCTTCTACCCACTGTTGAAAAGTTACCTTCAAGTTCACATAACCTAAATGTCTCCCAAAAGAGCCATAGATTGTTTTGATGTGAATCTGTGAGATTAGATGTAGGACTAGAGAGAATTCTTCCTGCCAGATAGGCAGGTATGTGCATGCCCAATATTTTGTTCAAATCAATCCAGAGTTTCACTGTGAAGGCCACAAGAAAATGCATATCTGGCATGCAGCAACTCTGACTGCACCAATACTGTATCTGCCAATATTTTGAAATCGCCTTTGCATGCATTAGGCTTTTAGGAAGAACAGATCTGGCCCTAATCTACTGCTTATGGCAAGAATCTGATTGTGCTATTTCTAGATCATAGACAGTAGCTCATAAACATTTAAATGTTTGTGTTGGAGTGCTGAACTGTAACTAATGTAATATAGACTAAATGCATACTCTTTCTGATTATAAAAAAGCGTTTTTCATTTTTACAGTTAAATCTTATGGAAGTCATTATGATTCTAGCAGGTAACCATTCTTTGTGTTTATGTGTGTGACCCCAATTACTCATGCAGAGGAATGTACTCCTGGTTTCACTAGAGTATAATTATAGTCCTCTACCTGTGACCATTCGTTCAGTGACTATTTGAAGTTACTGCAGTGCTGAACGAATGATATTATGGTCATTCCAGCCCTTGCAGCATCCCTATGGTCATCCTCACAGACTGGGCACTATGCAACTGTTTCACACAGTTTGCAATGCCCTGGATCCTCCTCATTGCTATTTACAACCTTCTCTGATGGCTAACTCAGAAAGTCACTGGGGAAGCCAACAGGGAAGGTGGCTAATTGCTGGGGTAAGTCTCCATCACCTGAGCAACCTTCCCAGCCCCTCTTTGCTATGCTCAGGGGACTTTTCCCCAATCATTGCTGCACCTCCCTGATCTGTGCCATACCCTTCCCAATTCTCTCTCACACTCTTCTTGTCTGCCTCACACTATGCTTCATGAACCATGCCCTGCCACTCTCTCACACACCCTTTGTGATCTATGACCTGCCACTCGCCCATCCTTCTTGACCCATGCTCCACCTCTTGCATTATCCCTTTCATCCTCATGTACTTTCCCTGGCCCATGCTATGTGTCTCCTGAATCTCCTTGCATCCTCTCAAGCATCGTCCCCCAACAACCTTTCCTGATACCTCACTCTGTCCCCCACCCAGTAGCTGCCACTTACCTGGTTGCCGGCCTGAGACTTGCAATTTCCTGCTGGTTTCCCCACTGACATGTTGTGAGAAACCAGCAGGAAGTTGCCTACGTTAGTGTAGAGCAAATTCGATTGCAGGGATTGCTGTTGCTAAGCAATGTGGTTGCACTTTATGACCGCATCATTTAGCGATGGAAATTCTGGTCTAGATTTCTGCCATGTTGAGGATTACCTGTATTTAAATAATATTCTCAGCTATGAAAAGCTTTTTTTTTTAGAGTAATATATTATGAAACCCACAATTAATACAGTGCTTTTTATTCAAGAGATTTGAACTATTAAATAATTGTAACAGGCTTTGCAAGAAAACTTTATTTTATGCATAATATGCTAAAAGACAGATCAGGCATTATGTTGGTGGCTATTTTTTCAAAAGCTAATTGTGATATTAAGTTTTGGCATGGTTATAAGTATCAGCCTTACTTTTTTGCAAATATAAATCCCATGTATTTGACTTTAAGACATAGCTTCTTTACAATGGCACTTTTAGGTATACAACAAAAGTAAAACACAAACCAGAAACCAGTTGCTATGCTATTGTTGGAGTAGGCTATCATCAAAGGAATGGAAGTTAATGTTTAACAATAATGCTTATTAATTTACTACAGTCGTTAAAATATGTCAGGAGATGTGCTATATGCAACTATAACTTCAAACTGAGAGCTAAACCACAATTGCCTGCAATTTTGTAACGTTTCATTTCAACTTCTGCAATTTGTTGTTTTTTAAAATAGTTCTGAAACTACAGATGGTTTAGAAAAAGACTGGCAGATTTGGGCTACCAATACTTTGTTAGCTGGGCTTCTGGGCCCAAGGTAAAGTGCTTTTAATGGGATGGAACCAAGATATCTTAAAGATCATTATTTCTTATGCGTGGTTGTCTTCTCTGTAAAATCTTCATCAGGAGTATAGACACTCCCATCAATTAAAATAAGGTGGATGGATCAAGTGATACTCATTATTGAATCATAAGGTAGAAGAAATCTTTCTCTAAGGAGACATTTAATTGGCCTTTTTTATACCACATGAAACATTTTTGTTCATTTAGGTTTAACAGAACATCTGTTTTTACAGTCTAGTTTTCTTCATTATTTTTGTTTTTATTAGTTATTTTTTTCTTCCTCTTTTGAAAAGGACATGGTTTCTGTGCTGCCATGACAGATTATGACTGCTCATAGAAAAATCTCCTTTCTCAAAAGTTGCCTAACAGTGACAACATATTAGGGTCTACATTTTTGGTGCACCACTTATGTAATACTTGTCTACTGCCACCAGTTGTCTTCCCAAGAGAAGGGAATGCTGTGAGCTGGCTCTTCTTCCAGTAGTATTGGTTTACAAGAGAGAGGGGACATCTCTCAATTTGAGCAGTTTCTTTCCTGAAAACCAGGTATAATGATAGTAGTAATAGTAGCACTAATACTGGTAGTAATGGAATAGGAAGCTCTATAGCATCATCTGTAGGGCCTAGTAACTTTAATATAGTTATCTTTACTTTTAAAAGAAAGCAAGAGCACCAATTTTTTAAAAAACAAGAAAAAGTACAATATCCATTTAACATTACATAGTCAAATATCCAGAGCAATGACAAATGGATGGAATAGGGCATTTAGTACTGACAAAAATCACAAATGGCATCTCAGACATACATGTGCATCATGTGGGGGGAAGGGGAGGCAGCCCTTGAGATAGAATAAAAGAAACCAAGGGTTTCCTCTTCTGCCTTTCTTCCTTGTGTTCTCAAGGAGTTTTTGTCTTTGGATTATGTCTTTGGAAAACGCATATGAGGTGAGAGCATGCCTATTTTGCTCCAACACAGCAAATGCTGGAGTTAAGGGCATGCCATGGAGAGTGTGTGTGTGTTTTAAAATAATATAAACTATACAATAGAGTCTGTGTTTAACAAGCACTCATTTAGTGACTGTTGAAACTTGTAACAGCACTGAACAAGACCGGTGCTTGAAATTCTAGCTATTACAATGTCCCCACCCCATCCTCACAATCGTGATCACAATCCAGCCGCTCAGCAACTGACCCAGATTTCCAACAGCTGCAGTGTCATACATTTTTATGTGATTGCAATTTCCACCTTTCCTCCTGGCTTCCCATTAGCAAAGTTACTGGAGGAAGCTGGCAGGAGTTTGGAAGTTGCAGCCATTTGAGGGCCTCACTTAATGAGCTGTATGGTCCTTGGTTAACAATGGTAACTGGAGACTGTCAGAACTTCTGTCTCTAAGTGGCACTGTCACGTGATATTGTGCTTGACTATTGCACTGGTTATTTCTAATTACCATTGTTAAGCCAGGGCAACCAATATTACTGTTCATTTGAGGCCAACCATTTAAGAGTCAGCACGCCCATGTGTGTGCAGCTGATAGATTTTCCATGTATAGAATTGTGGGGGTTAGTTACTCTAGTATGTGGTTGATATACTGTTACTGGGAGCAAAGAAGAATAGTTTTTTTTCATAAAGTATATTGACTACTTGAGATAAAACAATAACATCAACATGGACTGATTTAAATCTTAAGTATGTGGACTTAATTAGAAAAGTGATACTTAAATTATATTTTTGCAAATTTTCTTTTCAAATATTTCACCTTAAAAATACATCTTTTTGAAAATACAATTTGCCATTAAATATTACAGATTTGATTATGTTTTGTCTTTTAAAATTGGCCTATTATGTATTTCTGCTAGCATTTATGTTGCAAAATGTTCTATTTCCTTAGTCAGTGGTAGCCATAAAGAAAAGCTTCAAAAGTGCCCTGCATCATGCTGTACCTTCTCATGTATACGTTTGGACAATATTAGGACAATCTAAAGTAATATAATATATTTTAAGTTCTTTCACATTTCTGATAGAAAGCTTTTGGCAAACTGGGTTTCTGTCCCATACATCTACAATGCTATGTTGGGTGCTCTTAAGTCCAAGGTGTTTTGTAAAGAAAGTTACAAAAGGCACTCACAATATTGTGAGACGTTTTTAATTCAGAGTTTGAGTATGAATGTGTTTGTGTATATATAATATTGTCAGCTTTGAAAATGTGCTTTGTTCTTTATATTTTTCTAGCAGCTGCTCAGGTTCATGGAAAAGGTGCTGACGCATGTGCTTAGAGATCAGTTATTTGTGTGCATCTCAGAATAATAGATCTTCAAAAGACCCCAAAATTTTAGTTTGCACCGCTTGCTGGTAAATCAAGGTTAGCGGGGAACATATTGAGTAATTGTAGTTAATTCAGCAATCTTTTCTAAGAATCACTCTTCCACTGGGAGCCTCATGTATTTAGTTTTAGGAGTTGCCAACAGGCACCATGTGCCAAAGAAGGTTTTCCCTTTTAAACCTGAAATATTTCTCAGCCCTGTTAAGCAGATTAAATATACAGGTACTTTTTAATGTATGACAGGCTGCTTAGCAAACATTTGATGTTATGATGCACCCCCAAAATGTTCTTATGACCAGAATTCAAACATGATTCATTTTTGGTGCCCAGCTCGTATTTGTAGCCGTTTGCAGTGTCCTGTGGTCATATGACCCTGATTTGTGGCTTTTTTGCCAGATAGCATTTACTTCCGGTTTTGTGTGGGGAGCCCATTGTAGACAATGAATTTGTTTAACGACCATAGCATTCACTTAACGACCATGGTGATTCACTTAATGAAACACAAAAATGTTAGAAAATCTGGTAGATCGTGTGATGATTTGCTTAATGATCTGCACAATTTAAGATAATTCTGGTCCCAGCTATAGTCCTAAGTTGAGGAATACCTGTAATAGGAGAGTACAATTTGGATTTGTAAAGTAGAGTATTACCATCAAACATAAATAAAATTGTTCTTATATTGTATTATTATATATACATGAATCTTAACTAACAAAACAAAATGTTACAGATTTTGTAGGAATTAATAGGTCAGTTTATCTTAGCATAACAATTGTTTTTTCCATGTCTGACACTTGAGTTAATTGGTTCATAAAATAAATATTTGGATCCTTGTGCCCATATTTGGATTGGATGATTTCTGAAACAACCTATCTTACAAATCCTTGTGTTCCTTTTTATTTTGAAGGTGCCACAAGAACTTCAGCTGAGGAAGGAATTTCTACCAGAAACTTAACTAACCGTGCCTGTCAGTTGGGCTTCTTCCTTGTGCTTTTTATGAGGCCAAAATAAGAACAATCAAAAAAGAAAGAAAAATGCTCAGTTGTCTTTTCCTTTCCCCTGTTTTTACATGTTGTTTTTATGGGAACTGCATTCACTTTAATTGTTGTACATTGGCCATTTGTTCCTACCTATACTTGAAGGCTGTGGGCCTATAACCTGTGGCTTAATTTCAAGTAATCATGCATAGGATCGCACTGTGCCTGACAACCGTAGTGCTCCCTCCTTTAACAGGACTTGGGACAGAATTGTGGAATAGTTAACAGTGAGAAAACAAACAGCTTAAAATATTTTAACATCTCTCAAAGATTTACAGTATATGAACAAATATAAAATCATGAACAAAATATTTTTAAGTTCTTTTTACCACAGTTGGGGTCCTACATTTTTGCCCTAACTTGGTTCTGGTGCCATCTTTATAAGTTATTTAAAAATTTACCTTTTTTTTCCTAGTAGGAAGTTAAGCAAGTGTCCTTAACAGCAATCTGGTTGTTATTACTCATCTTCTTCAGCACAATGTGAAGGTGCCTCAGTGGGGATTTTAAGAAATCAGTTTTCACATTGTGGTCCAGTGAACTCCATTCAGGATATCTATCGAAAAGTCAACAATTATTTATGCTTTGGCCTCGAACTTGATTTATTTTCTAAGAACAGACTTCATAGCCTGGTTGAATTAACCCGTAAACTTCAGGCCCCAGGGTTTCACAAGATGCTTCTTTTCAACAATGATGGTGCTACTGAATAGAGGAACATTTTTTTCTATATGAGTTATGTACGTGCTGGAATTTGAACTGCTTACTAAGAAGCTCACTAAGCTGTCTAACAATTTGCAAGCGGTCCATGTTTTAAAATAAAAGTTGGGCATCTTATCAGAACCTCTTAATTGTCCCAAATTGATACAGAAAAGACAATGAATAGATAAGAAAATGCAGATTGACAATTTCTGAAATAGGTTGCTACGCTGTGACAAAACTATGTAGAGAGATGATGAACCTGCATGATGATTTCACAAAACACTGGCTTTGCTTATGGTAGAAAAGTTTTATTTTACGATTTTCACCATGTGGATTCTATTCTATACCCTGTTGTATCATATCATCAATTTGTTCCTTTACCACACACACACACAAAAACCAATAACTTGCCTTTATTTCTCTTTATTTCTGGCACTCTTTATCTTTTATTGATCAATTCTTTCCAGGTATTAAAAATATTATATAGGAACTGCTAGGGGAATCATTTTAATAATTCTTCTCACATGTTCATAGATGGCAGTTGTTGGTGCACTGCTGGCAAAACAAGGATTAATAGAGCTCTGCCACGCTCAGCATTACACTCTGGTGTTGTACGTAGTATAAGCAGACTGAAGTCACACAAAGAGCAAATAGAGTACAATTATTTATGGAATGTTCTCTTCCTAATTGTAGGTGATTGACCATATGACTTACACTTCTTTATCTGTCTAGAGAGTTGTTCGAGGGAACAAATCCACGGTATAACTTTTCATTTGTTGATGATTCCTTGTAGATAGACCTGAAATGGAAAGGTCCCAGAAGCATGTTATCCTTCCTCTGCTAATTGTTTAAATCTGCATTTAAGGTACTTCAGAAATCAGTTTGCCCCATCAACTTAATGCACTTTTGCTGATCAACTGTACAAGGGGTCCTTAATTTAAGACCATTCAATGACAGTTCAAAGTTATAACCGCCTTGAAAAAGGCGACATCCACAAAGTTAGGACCATCGCTTCACACATACCCCACGGTTACCTGATTGCAATCTGGGCTCTTGGCAACCAGCTCATACTTAAAATGGTTGTGGAGTCTTGCTTTGTGACTTTCCCAGTCAGCTTCCAACAAACAAAGTCCACTGGGAACTTTGCATTAAAAATGGTCGTAAAAATGGATCTGGTCACATGATAACTCATTTAATGACTGAATCATTTCATAACCAAAATTCCAGTCAGAACTGTTGTAAGTTGAGAACTACACGCGTCCACAATGTTTTGGTAAGTACAACTTCCATGGCAGGCATAACTGCTTTAAGGCATTCGCAGAGTCCTTGGGCATTTGGGACAATGATTACAACGACTGATCACAATAAATTTGAGGCCAATTGTTAAACTCACTGAATAATTGTTATACTTGTTTTTAACTGATACTCATTTTGTTACAGATATTTTTGTTAACTGGTATACAGTATGGCAGTCAGCTTTGCTCGAACAGCCCTGTGAAAACTTTACATACCGTGTTTCTCATATAATAAGGCCGGGTCTTATTTTTTTTTGAGCCCTGAAAAAATGGCTAGGCCGTCTTTTCGGGGGTGACTTAATTCCCCCCCTTGCATCTTTGGGCGGGCGGGCAGCAATGGCTTGGATGTTGACCTCGGCGTTGGTGGGGCACTTCATATTGGGGTCAACGCAGGCAGCACCATATCCGGGTGTACAACAAAAGTACTTCCTAACGGCAAGCCCCCCCACCGTTCCCCCCCATTTTGCATGTTTTAATATAGGCCTTAATTTGGGGGGAGGGGCTTAATTTCATTTCATGCCTATAAAACATGCTGGGACTTCCTATTGGGGGAGGCCATATTGTTGGAGAAACGGTAAATAAATCAATCCTGCAGACTCCAATCCCTTGAGATACTTTAGAGATCAAATCAGAAACACTAAAACTTTACTAAAAACTGGAATTTCTACTAAAACAAGGTAATAATATTATCTGTAAAACTACATGTGGGCATCAGGGAGGGCATCCGGCCAGTAAATGTTCAGCTCCATCCAGTTGCCCCGATTCTACCCCAAACAAGGATTACAAGGTTGTAAAAGGAGTTTTTATATTACTATTGAAAACTTTTACTAACCATTAAAGAAACAAGAAATGGATGGGATTCAAACAACCATGCGAGCAAGTGTCACAAGTTCTTCATAAACAACTTAATTTCTAAGAGTGTGTCTTCGAAGCACAAATAAGTAAGTATTGCACTTTTTTTCTCCTTTCCCCCTCCCCTTTTGGCTAGTCTTTTCTATGAAATTTTTAAAATATTTTTTTTAAAAAATCTACAAATTGCTTATGTTGATTTATGTTTCTGAACAGCCACACAAATCTCTACATGATATTTGGCCTGGCACTGAAAAGCAATTTTTCAGAAATTAACTGCCCACTGTAAATAAAAAAAATGGATGAATGATAAAAAAAATTTAAAAGGTTACATTTAAAAAGAAAAGTATTGTTGATACTAAACATTACTTGAGCCAGAAGATGGCAGCATTTGTATCTACTGCAGGTTGAAAAAAGAAAGTTTGGAAGGCTTGTTCTAATCAGCCTAAAACTAATAAAAGCGAATTAAAATTACAGGAAATTAAAATTCAAAAGTCCACTTCTTTAAGTGCTTATCAAACTTAGGAAGCTGGAACCATCCAAAAGTCAGATTCCTTCTTTTGGTTTTCCTAATAATTATAGATGACAGTCTCAAATTCAGATGCTTCCTTCTGGTGTTCCAGGATGAATGTAGATACTTCCTAAAGCCATTTATAAGAATAACCTTTTCTCTCAACTGACCAGGCACACTAATTTCTTCAAAAGAAGAATTGTTTTATTTACATGCTGAGCTTGCAATGAAATATTGGGAGGCGATATGCTCAGCCTGCCAAATATTTTTTTCAGTATAGCTTTCCATTCCCGGCTCACCTCCAAACTTTAGACAACCTCAACAGCAAGACATATATCCTTCATTTGACTGAGAGATGAGAGAACTTCCTCCGTCCTTCCTCATTTCCTAACATTCTCTTTATAGTTCCCTTTGTGTCAATATGCCATTTGGCATTGGAAGTGCCATTTTGACTACATAAACATTAGAACTTAGAGTATGTATTCATCAGCATGGGTGTATACATGTACTTGTGTGAGATACACAACTTAAAGTTGTTTCAGGAAAGTAAAAAATGCCCTTTATCCTGCTTTTCATTCAAAACCTTCAATTTCATTCCTTCCTCGTCAGTCTTGTGAGGTAGTCCAGACAAAAAGCATACACTTTATTGTAAGGTTATATTAAGAGAATCTTGCAAAACTGAAAATACATCTCATCCCAACTCTGTCTTTACAATATAAGACACTAGGCGGCCCCTTTAAGATGTTTGTATGCCAAACTAATCTTACTTCATTCTTTTCAAAGTGACAAAATTAGTGGGCCAGTGAAATGCTCAAGTTTGCTCGAATTTCAGTAGACCACAACCTACTTCTTGATAAGATAGAAAATGTGGATAGACAGTATCACCATCAGATGAATTTGTAACTGGCTGACAAACCACATTCAAATGTGTAGTCCTCAATAGAAACTACATTTACGTGGAAGGAAATATGCAGTGGGGTACTATCTTAGCCCCAGTACTCTACAACATATTCATGAATGATTTAGATAAGGGAGTAGAAGGGGAACTCCTCAAATTTGCAGATGACCAAACCAGGACGATTAACCAACACTGAAAGATAGGATCAAGATCCAGAAAGATTTTGACAGACTTGAATACTGGGCCCTATTCAACAAAATGCAATTCAGTGGCTAGAAAAGTAAGGCTGTACACTTAGGCAAGAAAAACCAAATGCACAGTTATAGAATAGGTGGAGCCTGGCTCAACAGTAGTAATTATTGACAGTTATCCACTATCCACTAGGAGTCCTAGTGGATAACCACTTAAGTATGAGCGAGCAATTTGCTGCAGCCGTCAAAAAAGCCAATGCAGTCCCAGATTGGATCAATAGAAGGGTAATATCAAGAGCACATGAAGAATTAGTACCGCTATATACTATCTTGCTAAGACCACACCTGGAATACTACGTCCAGTTCTGATCATTACCAAAAAGATGTTGGGACTCTGGAAAGAGTGCCAAGAAGAGCAACAAAGATGATTGGGGTCTTGAGGCCAAAACATAGAACAAACAATTGCAAGAACTAGGTATATCTAGTCTAATAGAAGGACCAGGAGTGACATAGCAGTCTTCCAATATTTGAGAGTTGTCACAAAGAAGGAGACATCCTATTCTCCAAAGTATCTAAGGGCAACACACATAATGGATGGAAACCTATCAAAGAGAGATCCAACCTAGAATTGAGAAATTTCCTGACAGAACAAATAAGCAGTGGAACAACTTGCTTTGAGAAGTTGTGGGCGCTCTAATACTGGAAGTTTTCAAGAATACATTCCACAGCCATTTGTCCAGAATAGTATAGGGTCTTCTGCTTGGGCTGGGGTTTGGACTAGAAGACTTCCAAAGTGCCTTCCAACTCTGCGATTCTGTATTCTACCATGTCCTCATGCCTTCTACAGACCCAGATGCCATTTGTCTGTCCATTGTCTAATACATGGATCTTTCTCCTCTCTCTCAAGTAATTCCCATATATTACATTCCTCCAACAGTGTGTGTGTGTGTGTGAGAGAGAGAGAGAGAGAGAGATTATGAGAGTTGGAAGGGACCTTGGAGGTCTTCTAATCCACACACCATCAACTTTGTGAACTAGGTTGAGCTAAGAGCAGAACTGTCCCTAGGGTGCCCAGGGAGCTTCTTTTCCAAATAACCAATTTAATTAACAGGTGAAAACTTTCATGTTCTGCAGCCGACGTCATAAGATGACTAGTCTGGCTAGCTTGATGTTGAACCCTAAGGTACCACCATAGATTCGCTTGGATCTCCTATTAAACCATTTGGTGGCTGAAGTAGACTTGAATGTTGGGGTTTCTTTTCCCAATTCCTTAACTATCACATCACACTAGATATCTCCTGTAGCTCTTGCACTATGTAAGATGTCTGTGGGACATGGGTATTTTGAAGCATTATATACTCCAAACAGGAACTGGTTTTTCAAGTGATATAATTTAAAATAGTCTTTTTCAAACTTGGGAACTTTAAGACGTGTAGGCTTCAATTCGGCGTTCTGGGAGCTGACGACCATACATCTTAAAAGTTCCCAAGTTTGAGAATCACTAATCTGAAGGAATGGAAAGACAAAGGAACATTCTACATAAATAACTACTGAGTAATTAATGTCTTCCTGAGCTGAATACATATGCTAAGTAATTAATCATGAGGAGAAAAACTGTTCACTTTAGGAAGGCAACAATGCCAGCTGTTGCATCTTGTGCTTGACTTACAAATGATATTGCAAACCCAATAATATGTACCAAAAGTTACAAGCCTGGGAGGGCAAGAATTGCTAATCTACATTGGTGGCCTTTCAAGCAGTGTGCAGCAGCAACCAAAAAAGCTAATACAAGCCTGGATTATATAAACAGGCATTGAGTCAAGGTCACGTAAAGTATTAGTACTGCTTTATAAAACCCTAGTAAGGCCACACCTGGAGTACTGCAACCAATTTTGGTCACCATACTACAAAAAAGATGTTGAGACTTTGGAAAAAGTTCAGAGAAGAGCAACTAAGATGATCAAAGTCTTGGAGACTAAAACATGAAGAACGGCTGCAGGATTTGGATGTGGCTAGTCTAAAGAAAAGAAGAATTGGGAGCGACATGATAGCAATATTCCACTATTTGAGGGGCTGCCACAAAGAAGAGGGGATCAAATTATTCTCCAAAGCACCAGAGGGCAGGACAAGAAACAATGGATGGAAACTAAATCAAGGAGAGAAGCAACCTGGAATTAGGGAGAAACATCCTAACAGTGAGAACAATTAACCAGTGGAACAGCTTTGTCTTCAGAAGTTGTAGGTGCTCCATCACTGGAGGTTTCTAAGAAGAGACTGGAAAGCCACTTGACTGGAATGGTATAGGGTCTCCTGCTTGAGCAGGGGGTTGGACTAGAAGACCTCCATGGTCCCTTCCAACTCATTCTACTCTATCCAAGCAACTAGATTGCTTTGTAGGTATACCTCAACTGCAAACACATGAATACCCATGAGATGGCAGCAAGGAGACAACTAAAACTCTGTGGTGTCATTCAGGGCCACTCAGCCTGATGTTATAACTTTGAATGGTCACTAAATGAATTGTAAGTCAAGGACTACCTGTACTTATAAGGCTGGTTTCATAGTTCATGACTGAATTATTTTAAAGAGGCCTACAGATTTGCTTGGGCACCAGAAACACCTTGGAATTAATGTTTAGTGTTTTGCAGTAATTTGCAGTGGTTTCTCAAGATGATTTAAATCTAGTTTAATATAGGCAATCCATGGAATAATGCATTTTAAATCTTTTATCAATTGTACATTCACTATTTTACGGATTGAAATTTT